TTAGTCTTTGCAACTTTACAGATCTTCTTTATGCACCAAGAGCTTGTAATACTCCAAAGAGAAAGGAAAAATTTCAATTGCATCATATGATATGACCCCTTTAAAGGTAAAAAAACGATTTGTCCCGTATTTTACAAAGGCCAAGGATTTTGCAGGGTGGATAATACTAATTGCAATTATAATGAAATAAATTTCATAAGAAGTATTAGAGATGATTGCATTTTGACGTCTTTGTTTCCATAGCAACGGAGTCTCCAGGGGCCGGTTGCATAAACTGTTTAGACTAGTCCTAAAAAGTTAGTCATCTAATTTTTTTTCTTCAAGACTGGTTATAACTTTTTTTAATTCAGTTATGAAAAGGTAGATTGTTCTTATTTGTATTGGAAAAGGAAGACTGATTACCCCTTGGCAACTGCTAGTTGGTCAAACTAGTTCTTAAGACACAGTCTTAACATGGTGGCTAAGTTTATGCAATAAACCCTGCCCACGGCAGCAGTATAAAAGTAGCCCAATTCCACAGATAAAACGCAGGGGCCACTTTAAAAAATTGGGGACATAAATTAAGAGTATACCCACTTCTTCAGTCACCACTACACCACTGGTTAAAACGTATCATTCTTGCAGCTTCTGTTTCGTGCTTGGACTATTGCAATCATTGTTTTTCTGACTTTGCCTGCTCATTTGACTTTTGTCAGATTCATTTGCATGTATGTGCTTTTACTCTGTGTGACATCAATGACTGGTTTTGGCCAAAATTTAATTAATATTTAAAAATATTTACCTTAAAATAACAAAGAAACATGTTGAATTGTTAGTATGGACATAACATCTTTATATTATGAGCTACATATTTCATTACAGATAATTAAGGAGGTCATAAGATGTCATAAGAGGTCACTACTTTCTCTTTGGAGTGTTACAAGCTCTTGGTACATAAAGAAGATCTTTAAAGTTGCAAAGACTAAAGTCTCAAATCCAAAGAGATATTCTTTATAAAAGTTAAGAGTCAACCACGCCCTCCTAAAATAGCTCATTCTAACACGCCCCCACATATCTACGTCACTATGTGGGAAGATTTGCATAACGCCGCCCAAATGTTCACGCAAAGAAAGAAGGCGTAACTTTCATTTTCGCTGTAGTATTGTTGTTGCCACCGGCGCCATGTCGTGAAGACGCTGTGTGCTTCCCCTTTAATAAATGTGTATGTAATTAAAAAAAAAAAAAAAAACAGAAAAACACGCTTTAAATAAGAAGAAAAATTAATTAATTAAAAATTAATATAATACTTAAAATAAGTTGTTAATTTACAGAACTTTGTGTTTCTGAATTCAAAAAAGGCTTCAGAGTCAATTAAATGATTAATAACATTGTGATACATTTACATTTACATTTACATTTACATTTAGTCATTTAGCAGACGCTTTTATCCAAAGCGACTTACAAATGAGGACAATAAAATTCAGAGTGTCATAAATATTCTCTCTGAAGAGTCTTTCACTTGTTCATCTGTTTAGTTTCACCTTTGCTGGTCTTTCACTCAGCTGCAGTGATGTCAGACAGTAGCTCCGCCCATAATCATGCATATGCAACAGTTCCTGATTAATTTCTGCAGGGTGTGTAAACAGTGTATCTATGTCGTTTTCTTCAGTTAATTTTTTATAACAGTAGTGGCAAATATTATCCCAGTTTTAAACACAGATTAAGTCTTCCTTGATTTCCTCAATCTCATGCAAAAGAATAAAATGTAAGGAAATGAAATAATAAAGGAATGGTAAAAAGTTTACTAGACAGTAATGTGAAAATTTGACTAACCCGAAATGTATGGATCCTGATAAGCTCATGTTGCATCTATTTTCCAACATTTTTTTTTTTTTAGAGTGAAACACACACACACACACACACAAACACACACACAAATGTACTCATGCTATTCTACATGTTTGAGGAACTGGTTGAATTTGCATTCATTTTTAAGATTATAGGCATGAAACAATAATTAATTCTCATTATAATTGTTTTGTCATTGTCATTAATGTCATGTTCCCTTGTCTCCCTTCAGCCCAGGTTATTCATGTTCTGTTGTGTCTCGTGTCGCAAGTTCAGTGACGCAGGTAGTGGCGATTCTCACCGGCCAATCAGTGATCAGCAGAGTTTACATTTACCAGGTAAGTTACTGTACCCAGTGGAAAACCACCCAAAAGTGAACCGTACCGTGCCGTACCATGCAGTGGAAAAGTGCCATTAGTCTGGACTAGCCTTCAGCCTTGTCTGTGAAACAGGGGGTATGATCTTAGTGACTGCTATCGGGATGTGAAGAGAATTTAACCAGCATCACATAAAAATGTTTTTGAACCAAATCACCAACCCTGCCTTTAAATAAAACTGTTCTCACTGTACGAGTGAACCGGTCACGATCCTGAAGCTCGAAACTGCCATTTAAATGTAACGGTCATTTTGGCAGTTCTGTTCGTCTGAGGAGAATCTGTTGGATTATCAAGCTAAATTATGTGAGTATTGATTTTGTTTAATATTCATTTCAGAATGATGTAAATACTTGCATAAAACCTACAATTTGGAACTGTTATGAGCAGGTAAAAGATTAATTTGTTTTTACTTATTATTATAAGAACATTCTTGTCAAGTGTTTGGTGTCGATTCTCAGTGCAGCATAGAAAGAGACCCGCAGGTAACAATCACATAAAAAAAGAAAGAGCTCACAGGAGGATAAAGCATATATCTAAACACATGTCAAATATACTCCTACAATGTAAGTGGATACTGGAGGATCTGAAAACGATGCCTGAGCCCAGATACAGATATGAAGGAAGTTTCTGATCAATACTGACAGCAGGTTTTATCTTAAGATCCGCTGTAAAGAAAAGAAACAGCAGCAGCTCACTTCTGAAGGGAGTTGATACAGTGCTCACAGTTTTAGAAGAAACCGGCAGAAGTTTGAGAATAGCATGTTTTAAATGTAAACTTGTTGAATGGAGGAGATAATATATGTTTGTCTATGCTGGATATTGATGGTTTCATCACAGAAATCTGTCAGTTGAAAAAAAGAGGAGAATTCAGGATTCTGATGGTATTATGTACATTAAACACGATTTAGTGTCAGCATCACCAAAGCAATGAGAAGCTTCAAAGACAAAATGGTCTGTATTGCTATTTTGACATCTAAAAATTGGTTATTTCTTTTCGTACATATAGCTGGCCAAGAGTTTTTTCTTTAAAACATTCTTTAAAACAATCTTCTTCAGATGAGTGGTTGTTATATAAATTGAAAGTCTCTTTGATTCTGTGTTTCTCAGGAGCTGGAAAAGGTTTGGTTGTGTGTGACTGATGGGACAGATTCAGTCTGGAGCGTCAGAGATCAACTCTCTGAACAGAGATCCAGAGACACACAGGACTCAGAGCTCAGCCTCACTTTACTCTGTTCCACTGACGCTCAGGAGAGTGTGTGTGACAGTCATGGATCCAGCCATCAAACCTCCACAGAGTCTCTGGGTCCTTACTGTAACGCTGGAGAACAGCAGATGCTGCAGACGCCACTGAAGATGTGCTCAGGCAAACTGCTGGACTGCAGGAAGATGATGAAGATGAAGAGAGAAAACACAGCTGAGGAACAACAGAGCGATGATGACTATGTTTCTGTTGCATCAGGTATTTTTCTTCCTTTATTGTTTTTACCTTTTCATGACATTTGTCTGTCATGTCAGCACCTGATACAAGGAAGACGGTTTCAAATCACTCAAGAGTTGCTTTAAAGTCACTTGCTTGATTTGTTGTGCTGTACATTATATCCGAAAATGGTGGAGATGCCAAACTCTCCATCGTCAAAAACAAAAAGCTCAAAGTGGCACACAGCCAGTCTGCTGTATGAGGTGATGGTCATGTACTACACTGGAGTGCTGAAAGACACCGTGAAGAAGGCCCAGATTCCTGTCCACCTCGAACTACAAGAGAGTGGAGTCTGACTATTAAACAGTCCCAGCAGAGACATTTTTCTGCTTATTGTGCCTCGAAATGTGTGAATCAGTAGCTGCTTTTGTCAAACATTACTTGATGATGAGCTGACAGTCAAGATCTTATTCCAGAAGCCGCTGTCACAAGTGTTGAAGAACATATTGTTCCGAATGCAGAACGTCAAAGAGATCACAAAAGGGTAAGACTTTCAGTGTTCAGCACTTTAATTTCAGGTGCGATATGTTCATGCACTTTAGACTTATGAACTGTACTACATTACATTTGAAAACTTTATTTAAAGAGTGATTTTACGCGTTGCGTTGCATCGCGCCGCGTAAACATAAAACCATGTCTGCATTAGTGATTGGGAAATGACAAACAACAAGCGCTACTCTACACTGTCCAAAAAGAGAAAGGAAAAATTGAAATCGCATCATATGACCCCTTTAAGTTTAGGGATGGAAAAACATAGGGTCTGCGGTATGGATTTGTGATTATTAAACTTAAATGATTTAACTGAATAAACGTGAGCGCTGCACAAGTCAAAAAAGGGCGCTGTTATGCGTTCAGCAGGATCTCGGTTTCAGAGCCATTCGCAATCAGGGAATACTGCACATCTATGCCTAACAAGTGCTTATGATGCACCTTTGATAAACTGACAATGTTTACATTATGGGTTTTATAATATATGTTGTAGATAGTTGTAAGAGTGCAAATTGTATGTCTCTTATCTTTTTGAATGAGCAGCTGGAAGTAGTAAAGTATAGATATTTCAAAATAAGAGTCCCAGTATAATTTAGGCTTTTCAGAGATAAAAAAAAAAAAACCTCATTATGCATTAAATATTTCCCCCCTAGCTATTAGATACTATTAGTATTTTGGTTAAACAGTAAACAGTATCTGGCATTTAAATCAACGTAAATGCTTATGACTTCTTTCTGTGTTGCCCCGTCAAGGAAAGAAAGACTAAGAAAATTATTTAACACATTTAATATATAGATTTTATTATCTGCACAAAAATCTTTTTATTACATTTCTTAAAAAATGCATTATCGTATCAGCAAAATCCAGTATCGATGGACCTTTACTTTGTGTGTATTGATATATGAGAACATAAACCAATTCCAATACATATGTAAATATTGAATTAAACGCTTGCATTTCCCTGTTTTGCAGATGAATGTGTGCTGCAGCCTGTTTCATTAAGTAAAAGCATTGGAGCTGGCTAATTTATTTTGAGATTGTTTGGGTTTGTTCAGTAACGACATGTGGTATTAATTTTATTTGTGTTGGTCAGGTCTTGAAAAAGGTATTTGATCGGGTATTTGAGAAGCCCTTTATAAAGATTCTAAAGGCTTAATTGTTTTAACACAATTTTTACCATACATGTGAGAGCAAAGCTGAATAAAGGTTGAATAATTATGACAAAGCTGTACAAAAAAAAAAAAAATCCTATAGCTCAAAAATATTAGCTAATTATCACTTTTAATATGCCACTGAACTGTTATAAGGTGCAATAAAAAAAAAAAAAACACTAGATCTTCAGAAGAGCTTGCATTTTTAAATTATTACAGTCCCTGAGGTGTTGAATTGGGTTGAAAGCGTGAAACGAATACATATTTGTCTTTAACATCATAGCAACTTGAAGCTGATCTTGTAGTGTCATTGAATTATTGTGACGCCATTGAGATGAATGATAATGCTAATATGATCTTCTTTTTGCATACTTTGTACCTTTGCCTTTCGGGTTGAAGAATAAGGTGGATATTTTTTCCAGTGTAGTCTATTTGATCATAAATCATCATTTAAAAGAATTTAAGCAATCAGTGTGCGGATTTCTTTCTTTTTTTCTCCTTTTTTATTAATTCTAATTAATAATTTATCTAATTAATAATTTTATGTTTCAGATTTTGGGAGATTTGTTCATTTTAACGGACAGGTGAAATGATCAGTGGTTTTGAGTTTTTACCTCCTTCATTAAGGTATGGACTAAAATATGGATAGAGTTTCTCAGTGAAAGTCTGACCAGTGAAAGAGTAGATATGAGATCTGTGCCGCGCATCATAAAAAGAGACCAGACCCTCCTCATAATCCACAAACACTCCCACAATCTCAGGTTTCACTCTCAGAGATAAAGAGACAGGTGGACTTTCACAAGCTATATACTGATTCTCATTCCTCAGAGCCACAGCCCAGAATCCATTCTCTGGAGTCAGTGTGTTTATCTCCTTCCTGTTAATGGATTCTCTGGCCACTCCAAAATCCCAATCAGTCTTTCCCTTCACCTGCACCTCATAGTAAAATCTGCCTGAACTGAATCCCTGCTTTGCCAGAACACAAACAACATAATCAAATCTCTTTGGGTTTTCGGGGGCGTCCTGCACGATATCTCCATGACTGACTTGTTTTCCATCATCAGACAGGATGAGATATGGATGCGCTGTATCAAGATCTAGAGTCACATCCACTAGATGAGAGATCAGACATTATCAATCAACTTCAGAACAAATATTTTCATGTGTACATAATACAGATTATCAAAGTATTGTAAGTATATTGGAGAAAATGATGTTAATCACACTGTACCTGCAAACCTCTGAGCCCACTTCAAACCTATTGACACAGATTATAATATAAGATGATGAATTATTAGGAATAATTTCTGATGAACAGTGAATTTATATCTGTCAGCAACATCATGTTGCATGTGCATCATCAGTTTGTGAAGCAAAATGTGTTTACAGTAAATACATTTACAATTGACCTATCTGTAATTTATAATATTATTGTTATTTATTATTATTATTATAAATATTATATTATTATAAATTATTATAAATCTAAATATTATTAGAAATCTTAGTCACTCACAAATATATGTATTTGATATTGTAATGTGGTGTTTTGGGTTGTGTTTCTTGTTCATGTTTTCATGTCTTTTATTTTG